AGCTAAAGTAATTTAAGTGGAATTAGCATCGAGGAGAAACGGTGCCTTGATCCTTAACATTGGCATTTTTGCAAGAAGCTGTTCCTCCTTTGATGTTCACGTTCGCAAGAACAATTCCTTGGCATGGATATTTCTTGCTGCAATCGAACTTTATGGCCACATCCGTTGCGCTTGTACCGGTTATATTCCGGTAGACCACGTTGCTCACTTGCACCGCGGATCCCTAAGCAACACATATATTCACATTTCAATCCCATCGAAGCTAGTTTAGTAAATTAAAAAAAGAACAGAAATTCGGCTAAATCAAATCAATTACTTGTTGTTGGCATTTGTCCTTGTCGCAGTAGTTTTGGTCGATTATGATCGGATTCTTGACATTTTCCATACGAATGTTTTGAAACTTAATGTTCTTGGCAGTTCCTGACCCTCCCTGAGATCAATAATAGGGGGGGGGGGGGGGGTTTTGACAATTCCAAAAAAAATAAGGATTGTTTGTGAATAAATAAATAAAAATAACTCACCTGGTAAGTTTTAATTCTAACTCCATTGTCAGTAGCAGAGAGCTTAGCACCATCCACACTAATTCCGGAGACATAAGCTTTCGAATTGTCATCCCCCAAGCTCCCAATGCTTCTCATCAAAACAATATATAAACAAAGATTGATATTAGCTATATATTGACTAAATCAATTAAAAGGAACGAATTAAGATATCTTTTCAGTATAATTGTCTAACCCTTAGATTAGAATTCGAAAAAACGATATTTCAATTTACCTGATTCCGTGACCGGGGCCGCAATTTAAATCATTTATCTGAACATTTTGGGATCCATCCTCAATGGATATACAATCATCACCTATATAAAAGCAACCCAAGAACATAAATATGATATGATTAAATTTATTAACGACCTCCATTTATCTTGAGCAAGTCTTTGTTACACATAAATACAACACAAACCCCAATCATATATGGATTATATTACCTGTTCCAATGTCTGAATTGGAGATTCGAATGTTTTGTGTATTAGTGATATGAATACCATCCGTGTTGGGACTATCGTCAGGAGCAGTGATCTCGACATTCTTAACGTTAACATTGTTGCATTTCTCAATCGAAATCTGAATCTGCTGCGCATTTCTCACCCTCAAATTCTTCACATTCAAACTCTTTAAGTTGTAGAGAGTAAAAGCCTGCATATGCACAAAACACACACATGCCAATTTTATACTAAACGTTTCACTTATTTTGAATGTGAATAAAATTAAGTATATATACATATATGGAGCTAGGGGTGGGCAAACAAGAATATGGGACGGGATTTCACGGGAACGGAATTTTCGGGACTAGAAAAATATGTCTCACTTATGTCCCATTTAAAATTTGGGACAGAAACGGGATAGAACGGGATGGGATGGGAACTGTACGGGAATTCCCATAAAATAACGATATAGTCGAATCAAAATGAACCAAACATAAAGTAAACTAAAATAACGATGACTAATATGAATCAAAATGAACAAAAATGAATCAAAATGACTAATATAAAATACATATATACTCGATGAATAAAACAAAATCAAAGAAAAAAATGATTAAAAAAAACGTGATATAATACAAACAGAAGAACTCAAATTAAAGAAATGAAGTATATTCAAATCAAAAGAACAAAAGATTTAATTATAGAAAACACACCGACTAGAGGAGATCAATCATCAAAAAAAAGAATAAGTAGAGAATTATAGAAGAATCATAATAAAAAAATCAAATCGATTAGCCAAGTGAAGGGGTTCTTCATTCTTGCCTTCTCGATATAGCGTGTCAGTCTCTTAAAAAGGAAGAGCAGTCGACTAAGAAAAAGG